AGCTCCCTGGACAAGGAGGGACCCCTCTGGGATGTGCACATGCGTCCTCCCCCCCACTGCCACTGACCCCCAGGATGATACTGGCTCTGCCTCTCTCCCATATAAACACCATTTGTCCCGACCTGGACCCCCAGCAATTCCAGCATCAAGCCTTTGGGAAGGGGAAGGCGAGGGCAGCCTGGGCGCGTGGGCTGGTCCCCGCTGCGATCCAGAGGCACATCCTGTTCCGGAGTTGCCATGGCACAGCCAAACATCTGCCACAACAGACGGCTGGGGCTGCGCTGGCACCGGGGCCGTGGACGGGTGAGGGCCCGGGCAGGCAAGGGAGGCAGGGTGGAGGGGCCACAAGACCCAACAAGACTTTTAAGTCTGGGAAAGAAGCCCTGCCCCGAACACATGCATACACACAGACACACATACATGGCACACACCCATGCATACGTGCAAGCTGGCCTTCCAGGACAGGCAGACTTCCCAGAGGCAAGCGTTCCCGATTCTCAACTTTCTTCCTGGAGGTCCCGGAAGGAGATCCCACGTGCGCAGCCCTGGCAGGACTGGGCCCTCCTGAATTCTCACCCAGGCCCCATCCTGCTCCCAAGATGGGAATTCGCTTTCCTGTTTGTTATTGTTTTTCCTAATTAGAAAGTAAAACACAGTCGCTGTAACAAAATCACATGACCCAGAGGAGTGGCAAGAGCTGCACTCGTGGCGTATCAGCCAGCCGGCCCCTGGGCCTCAGACCTCTCATTCAAAGTAAGTATAAGAGGGCGTCCCAGGCCTCTGACGTCAAAACCCGTGCTCTTTTTTTTTTTTTAATATATTTTTATTGATTTCAGAGAGGAAGGGAGAGAGAGAGAGAAATCTCAATGATGAGAGAGAACTATTGATCGGCTGCCTCCTGCACGATCAGGGATGGAGCCCACAACCCAGGCATGGGCCCTGACCGGGAACCAAACCGTGACCTCCTGGTTCATAGGTCGAGGCTCAACTGCTGAGAAGCCCATGCTCTTTCCACTAAATTGCTGCCTCCCCAGATCATCTCCTGAACCCCACAAGGGCTGGGTTCTCAGCCAAGGGCCAGGGGTGCTCACTCTTGTTTCTGGTCGCCATCCCTCAGCTCCGTGGGGGTGGGGCAGCCGACTTGGACATTGCATCGCTGGCCTGGCACCGGGACCCAAAGCTTCCACACAAACAGGAGGTCCCCCTCACAGAAGCCCAACAGGCACCATGAGTTGGGAGTGAGAGTGAGGTGAAGACTTGAGGGTT